CCGTGCGGTCCGTCAACTCGGCAACGATGAAGCCACTCACATATCAGTGTTGCTCCGGATTCGGGAGTCTCTAAGGAGTAGGGCAAGGCTCAAATAATCCGGAATGAAGAAGCGAGCCTGAAATGTATGGGAGATTCAAGACAGCAGCCCCGAGCGACTCGCATCTTGATGGTGAGCCTAATCCAGGCCTCGACACAGAGTCATGGTGCAACAGGCCGTGACTTTGTCCCCCTCCGTTTAGATGAAGGCGTCAACAACAGAGTAGAAAGCATACATTTCAGTATCAATAGTGTTCATGTTCAAATAAATCAAACAAACATCCTCTTAATCCCGTAAGGTATTTCATTGAATGAAGGAAATCAGCGGGAATAATTTTCAAAATAGAAGTCGACGTGGGAGGGTTAATACCGGAAAACTACGATGCACGGATTAGCTACAGTTGTACTAACTCATTAATACCATACTTGATCAAAATCCGTCACTATGTTACTCCTTATATTCGACATTTATGAGATTCCCAAGATATTGAAACAGAACCGTACTGATGTAGATTGCGCGAAATGTATTTCACTAATGAGTTGGTTTAGTGATGAAATTGCGACTCGGTCATCGCTGTCCGAGGCATATAGAAGGGGTTCCGCGCGATTAAGTGACCTCCGCGCCGGACCGATGGTCCCCCCCTCTCCACATGAGCGACGGATTGACAGCTCCGGTACTGTAGAATCGTCGGGCTTATGGTTAAAGCACTCATGTACTACGTGTAATTGCCCCAGTTGTGACATCAAGGACGCCACAGTATAATCTGCCGCATCAAAGACGTAGTCATATTTCAGAGTCAACCAGCATCAGATGGCATAATGGCGGCCGTGGAAGCCTTCAACGAAACGAGAGACAGTACGGACAGGATTGTCACCGATTGTGGATTTGCGGGCTACTATGAAAACGTCCACTCACGACAGAAATTGCTCATCGTTCAGCTGATCATGAAATCGTTCCAAAAATTGCGATGCGATATTGCGCGTACAAAACCGGGCCAGAAGCTGAGACCGATCAAATGCACCGCCAACCTACGGAAACAGCTCGACTTCTGCTATGAAATGCTTTCAGATGCAGGACTTGTGCGCCAAGAAGGAGATTCTTTCATCAGGACAGACACACCCACTCCACCTGGAAATCCAAAAGATGCTCTTCAACATATTCTCAACGACTTTCCGACATACACATCTCTGAACAAGCTTGTGGCTCACGCGGGTAACAACCTCGCCGAAATTTATGTGGGACGTACCGATGGCGTCCGATCGATTTTCGGGTCCCCAGAAGGGCGCGAGTATCTGGAAGATATCTATGGCGCAGCGCATCCGAGCAAGGCCTTTCACAAGCTCATGGAAGACTTCATGACCCGCTTCACAAAGACCGTCACCATCCCTCACGGTTCTCAACTCAAGATCCTGGAGCTTGGCGCTGGAACAGGGGGCACAGCCAAATGGCTTGCCCCGTTGCTCGCTAAATCGGGAGTCCCTGTCGAGTACACCTTCACCGATCTGGCACACGGCTTCATTGCTCAGGCTGCGCGGAAGTTCCAAGACTACCCCTTTATGAACTATCGAACACAGGACATCGAGAAGCCACCACCTGTAGATCTCGCGCACACCCAGGACATAGTCATTGCTGTAAACGCAGTTCACGCCACCCCTGACATGGTAAAGTCACTTACCAATACGCGCCAATTCTTACGACCTGGCGGGTTTGCACTGGTGATGGAGGTGCAGGAGCGTTTGTGCTGGGCTGACTTTGTGTTTGGGCTGTTTGAGGGATGGTGGTTGTTCAGCGACGGGAGAAAGCATGCGACGGCTGACGAGACGGTATGGCGGGATGCTTTCAAGGCATCTGGGTTCGATCATATTGATTGGACTAAAGGGAAATTGAGGGATTCCGGCCTGCAGAGAGTTTTCCTGGCGACGGTGGCCGAATAGGGTAGCTCGTGGTTGTAGTTGTTGGTACAGTGCCCGTAACTTCGGTTTCAGTTGCACATGACGAATCTTCCTCTTCATGTATGGTACACCAAATCTGATGAGATCAGATCACGCCACTTGATAGCCGACCTAACCGCGGATACTATTGCTTCGTCCTTGTGATATTGTATAGACACATAGGTGATCAAACCGAATCCTCGGAACTAGATTTCCATATCTGCTAGATAGCATAGCTAAAATCGAGGCGGATCCCCGGTGAAACGTCCGCAATGAGGTTTCGAGGCTACCTGTAACCTAAAGCGAGGCTGGAATGGTAGGCACTCGACTATACGGCTAACTGGCAACTTGTAGGCAGAAATTATCCACGTGGTTTGTTTATCATTCGGTACAGATGTTTCTGTTTAGAAGTTTGGTAACGAGTCTTCTTTTGCCTAACTGCACCTCTGAGGGGATACTTTCCTGCAGGCTGCCCCGAGAACACTCAAAGTCTACTCCAAATGGGGCGCGTAAGCACGTCTTTACAAGACTTACACAGTAGACTTGTAGCAGCGGAAAAAAGGCAACTCTATCTGGGTGGCGGCACGACCCTTGCCGCTGGCTCGTACCCATCTTACGTCTGTTGGTCGAGATGAAGCAAGACGGGGAAAGGACTTCTAAGATGAGCTGAAGTATCGCGAGTCAAGATGTGGGGGGCTTCGTCGCAACTTCGGGTGAGAAGGAAAGTTTCGGGGTACTTTTGCTGTTCCCCGACGATGCTGCACTTGGGATAAGGCTTCAGGGTTCTCGATAGTTCGAACCTACATGGTACCCCAAGTTAGTTGACAATACGCGGGATCTCTAAGTTGAATTCTGAGTAAGTATGTAGCTATGGAACTTTTCCCTACACTTGGCTGGCCAAGGATTCGTACCTATGCGTGCGCTCAGTTGACGCTGAGAACAATTGCTGGCAATATCGCAAATTTCTAGTATGGCTACTGAGAAGCAGGTTGAGATTGGCGCCGAGCGGCAGGATGAGGATGGTGACATCGTTGTGGACTGGAATGGGGAAGACGACGAGAGTAAGCCCCTGAACTGGTCAACTACTCGAAAGTGCATCAACGTTGGACTTGTCAGCGCCTTAACTTTCATTGCGTAAGTCATCCTGCGTCCCAATACGACACGAGAGCGAAGCTGGAATAGCTGACTGACTACGAATGATGTGGCTCTATAGGTCCATCGCCTCCGCCATGTGTGCACCTGGAGTCCCAGACATGATGGCGGAATTCCATAGCGAGAGCAAAGTCCTCTCATCCTTCATCGTCTCTATTTTTGTCTTAGGATATGCAATTGGTCCAATGTAAGTTCTGTTTGCCTCAAGGTAACGAAGCCTCCAGTAATAATCAACTTATGCTCGTCAGCTTCTTTGCTCCTTTATCCGAGCTGTATGGGAGACTGCCCATTTACCACAGCTCAAACATCCTCTTCACTCTGTTTAGCATTTTGAGCGCTGTATCGCCAAACCTGCCGGCCATCATTATCTTCCGTTTCCTCTCTGGCGCCTCGGGTGCAGCCCCCCTAGCTATCGGCGGTGGCACTATAGCTGATCTCATCCGACCCGAGCGACGAGGCTTGGTGGTGAGCGTCTACTTCGTTGGTCCCATCCTTGGACCAGCACTGGGACCGGTCGCGGCCGGCTATATTTCACAGGATCTAGGCTGGCGATGGATTTTTTGGGTCACTGCAATCCCTGTGAGTGCTTGTCGGGTACCGTGGTCTGATTCCCATTGCTGATCAAGAGCCACAGTCCGGTGCCTTCACGTTGATTTGCTTCCTCTGTCTGCGGGAGACATATCCTCCAAGACTGCTGCATCAGCGTGCAGTGGCTTTACGGAAAGCTCATCCCGAAAGCACTTTCGTAGCGCCGGGTGAAAAGTCGGCGTTGAGTCCAAGTACGCTCCTTCTCAATGCACTGGTTCGGCCAGTCAAGATGTTTTTCTTGAGCCCAATTGTGCTTGTTCTCTCAACAATACTTGCTTTAGCATACGGGTATATGGTAGGCCCCACGAGGTTTCTACACAATGTGGCGTGAGGCTGATAGCAAGCAGTACATACTATTGACGACATTCACTCCGGTCTTCACCTCGGAGTACGGCTTTTCGTTGGGCACAGTCGGTTTAGTCTACCTTGGCCTGGGCGTAGGTTTCAGCGTGGGAGCAATTTGCAATGCGATCTTCAACGACCGCATGGCCAATCGACGAACTGCACGCAACGATGGACATCGTGAGCCTGAGTTTCGACTGCCTATCATGGCCAGGTCGATCTTGCTTACACCCTTGGGACTATTCTTCTACGGCTGGACCGCGCAGTACCATTTGCACTGGATACTCCCAATCATTGGCTCAGCCCTTCTCGGAGCCGGACTAATCCTTATCATGGTGGGTGCTCTAACATCTTCATACATTCCAGATACTAATCAAGCGCCCAGATGCCGTTGCACACATACCTCATCGACGCGTTTACGAAGTACGCTGCTTCTGCGATAGCGGCATCTACCATCTTCCGCTGCATCGTTGGTGCATTTCTGCCACTCGCAGGGGAGTCATTGTTCAATCGGCTAGGGCTCGGCTGGGGAAGTAGTCTTTTAGGATTTGTCTCACTTTTGCTCTGTCCGGTTCCGTGGCTACTTCAAAAATATGGCCAGGCAGCTAGAGAGAGGTTTGCTGTCACATTCTAAATCACTCCATGACACACGTAATTACCATAGTTCACAGATCGATCACCAGGGAGTAGAAGGGCGATGGTTTCTATTCAAGAATATGTCTTATCTAGCTACTAATTATCGTTTTGCTATTGTTGGTGGCGGATTACAGGTTTAAACTCTTATTCTGAGCCATCAAGACATTAATATGGATTATGAATCATTTTCTGGATTGAACATGTTTCTTCCGTGATTAATATCTGGCTTGATCAAATTCACACTAAAAATTTGCGGTCTTAGAGTGATCATAACCTTGACTTAGTAATAGAGATGCCTGTGTCACGAAATTCTCACCACTCTCTTGCCCTTCCTAGTGATCTGTCCTCTGCCAGAGTTACACATGGTGTGTACTCAATGTCGAGATGTGAGTTGATAGCGAACGGGTCTTCGACGTGCATATTTATCAACACATGATCGGCACAGTGTGTTGAGTGATTCCAGTTGATAGCATAAGCCGGAACTGTTGTTTTCCATCGTGCGGCGCTGCTGAGAATTTTCCATGTTGCAACACAATGCCAACGATGAAGATCCATAGACACCCATTTTATGTCTTGCGTGCCCTTCATAACTTGGGGTAGAGTGATGGCCTTTGTCGCATTTTGGTCCTCAAAGAACTCCCACGGCCATACGTGCTCAAATTCGTCAATGAGTTCGGGAGAAGAGCATTGTGTCGGCATCCAGTGGAGCAGAACGTCATCGTAGATGCAACCTGCTGCGCGGGCTTCGTTGGGCGTATGCCCGCATGCTGAGGACGGCTCCCAGGCGCGAAAGGTCTGTCCACCGTCAACGACACTCCATTCTGGGACGATGGTAGACATTTTCGTGGGTGAGTCTAGGAAGTATGCTGCCAAAGCAAATGAAAAGACCAAGATGGCTCCGGATGTGGAATAGCCAATGCCTTGAAAGATCTTCCTCCAAGGGAATCGTCTTGGATAATGATTTAACACCTGCTTCGACGCAATTTCCTCCAGTATGTCGTCGTCATAGCTGCTGGACTGAGAGGATAAGAGCCTCTCTTCCGCTTCGTTGCTATGGTCTGTGGTAGTTGACATTATTTGCTACTGACTTAGGCAGAAAAGTTGCGTAAAAACAGTAGGGTAGTGTAAAAAAAAGTTGCTTTACATGTATCCGCTGTACGACAAGACCGTGGCATCCTCTATTCCACGTTTGAGTAGGACTACAACCTGCCCAGGTGGCTACAGAATATGTGAGGCGGACTTGCTTGAGTGAGAGTTCTGCCTCGGATTTTTACGACAACTACCCGACAAAATGCACTAACAAGACAAGGTACTCAAGGTTCAGTTATAAAGCATGAGTGCGGAACCCGAGAAATTCTCCAAGCTCCCGCTAGGACCCTTATGAAGTGTGTCACAGTTCAAAGCTTAAACACAAAGTCGAGAACATCCACAGGACTAACCGAGCACAGAACGTAAACGAAGAGCTTGTCCCTTCTGACCGGGATCCTCTCGAGAAAGCAAGTGGAACCACCTACTGTAAACGGTACTATGACTGCACTAACGATATATGGACGTCAGTTTCGGAAGTTAATCGACTTGAAGGAGGAGCTGGGCAGACGACACGGAGGCTTTCTTCTTGATCGCCCAGCTCTTACTATAAGCGACCGTCGTATCCTAGCTACAAGCTGAATCGGAGATGATGACGCGGAAGATATCATCCCCGCATGGTTGGCCTAGGCAGAAACAAATGTCATGTAGTGCCGACATATGTTATCTATCGCCCTCTCAACAAGACTGCCTATCACGTACTTCCAGTCACCACCGCTGTCACCGTGCAATCATGGCAAACCACCGCGAAAAGGTCACAAGATTCGAGAAGAATATGGACAATAGCCTTTCACCCTGTCTACGACTTCTTTTCTTTCTTCTAGGCTCATCAATATGCACCCTTTTCACTCTTCTGGTTCCCTTCTCTCCATTTTACGGAACTGATCACGGGAATCACGGTCACTCTGATACCAACCTCGGGCTCATCACCGGCCTGCTCAAGGACAAATTCCCTTGCGGCAGAGATACTCCCACTGCATTGTCACGTGGGTGCAAGTTTGAGTCATACACGGCGACATGGCAACCTCCGCAATGTTTTGACTCGGCTCTAGATGCCGAGTTCCGCCAGACTCGCCCATGGAAGTTCTTTACGTCTCGGAATTCAACCACCGAATTATCCTGGTCTGACGTGGAGAAGATCAAACCAGGACAGGCGTGGACGACATGGGAGTTCCATCTCTACTCTTGCGCGTTTCTGTGGAAGAAAGAGGTCAAGATCGCGCACGGATTGGTCTCTGGTACCATCGACTACCACCAGTGCCTAGACCATGCGTTGATGCACGACTATGCGAGGCCCAAAGACCATGTTAGTATCCCTTACTGGCCTCGCTTTACTTCTTGTCGACCGCCTAGCGACATATCCGTTCACCAATTCGATTTGAAGCCTGGTGTGGAAAAGGGGCTTGGTAGTGATGGACAGCTGGCTGAAGTGCATGGCCATTCTCATATTCACGGGGCGAATAAGGAATATGATCACAAGCCAAGGGAATAGACCATTTTCGTCACTGGGGGCAAATGTTGTAGCAGACTGATTAGCCAATGTCTTCGTTCTCGGGCTCTCCATGCAATAGTATAGTCAACATTCCTACCATAAATCCCACATATCGTGACGATTAACGTAAAGTCCTCTGATCCTCATACGTGGGTAACCAAGTCCGTTTCAAGTCAAGGTTCAATACCCTGAACATGGTGAAAATCACAGTCTAGACTACCGGGAACTGATCCATCATTGGGCAGACAAAGTAAGCTACACACTATTGTCGATAACCGAGAGCGACAGTGTCGTCAGAATTTCACCTTACGACTAGGTTCACAATAAGGATCTGGGTTTTTTAGTAAAAACAAAGCAGGGCAACTACTTGTTCTCGAAAGTATCCCACTTTCCGCCGTTTAAGCTTCCGTCATCCCACCCAGCAAGCTCAAGGTTGGAAGCCTTTTGTGTGCGTGCCCAAACTATCAACTTGGCCTTGTCAGAGCTGCATAAGGGGACTCAAACGCGGCGGGGATCCTCTTTGGGGTCATTGGAGCAAGAAAGTAACGCGAATCCACTACGAAACCTTTCCAAATTGAGTCATTGTTGCTAGCTATGCTCTTGGTGATACACGGTTCCGCGGATGTACGGCTCGAGCCGGAACATTAATCATTATTCTATAAGCTAGTATATGCAAATGGAGATATTCCAACAAACCTTGAGGTAATCGACTACCGCAGATAACGTGACTAGATCTGCTCGTCTGCCACGAGGGTGTCGGAAGACAAGCTGTAAAAGGGAGTAGGAACGCCATATATGACCACGTTACATCCCACGCTGTCTACCTTGGTGTTCGAGCATCTAACAAATCAGACAACTACAATACACCAACTATATCTGTTATCATTATCCAACGACTCACAATGAGATTCACCGCCCTTACTTCCGTCGCGATCCTTGCAGCCACTGCTCTTGCGGCACCGGCCATCCAGAGAGAAGAGAAACGGGCTTTCGTCACTGACGAGCTTGGTACGTGTTTGAAGCATTTAAGATTCCGTAGACAATTAAGTGATCTAACTGACGAGTAAAGATCCTCGCGCGTTTGTCACCGAAGACAAACGCGAGTTTGTGACTGAGCCAGAGAGACGCTCCTTTGTTACAGAGGACAAGCGAGGATTTGTCACTGAGGAGAAGCGTGGTTTCGTCACCGAAGATGAAATGGAGAAGAGAGGTTTCGTCACCGAGCCCGATATGAACAAGCGTGGCTTCGTGACGGAGCCAGAGAAGAGGTCTTTTGTCACTGAGGACAAGCGCAGCTTCGTGACCGAACCCGAGAAGCGCGGCTTCGTCACTGAGGATAAGCGCAGCTTCGTCACTGAGCCAGAGAAGCGCGCCTTCGTCACTGAGGATAAGAGAAGCTTTGTCACGGAGCCCGAGAAGCGCGCCTTCGTCACTGAAGAGAAGAGGGGCTTCGTCACTGAGCCTGAGAAGAGATCCTTCATTACAGAGAAGCGTGGCTTTGTCACCGAGGACAAGCGTAGCTTTGTTACGGAGCCTGAGAAGAGATCTTTCGTGACTGAAGACAAGCGCGGCTTTGTTACCGAGCCTGAGAAGCGTGGATTTGTCACTGAGGAGAAGCGCTCTTTCATCACTGAGCCCCACAAGAGAGGCTTTGTCACCGAGGACAAGCGTGCCTTCGTTACTGACGAGAACATGGAGTAATACTCATATGATCCTCGGTACTTTAAGAATGATGGAGAGGATGGAACAGCCAAGTGGTGGTAAATGGTACAGATTGTCCTGACGGGAAACCGGCGGTACTTGGTGGAGTTTTTCTTGATTACGTTAGACAAGGTAGCTTCAACAGCAGACTGGTCACTGAAATCAAAACTCTTGTCTCGCTTTACATTGGTTCTACTGCGATGACGAAAAGAGTGTGTGTCAATGGTGTGTTATCAATGGAACTGACAAGCTAGGGATTAACACGACGTTGAACGAAGGAGAGATCGAAAGCTATCAAGCTTGTATGGCATTGAGAGCTATTCCACTGACAGAAGCTACAAGGGGTGTTGTTTAACGAGGCCATTTTCTTTCTACACGTTGCATGTATTTGATTGAGGCATTGCTGCCAATCAACCGAAAGCTCAAGCAACCCTATATTCTGCCCTACTCAGTGTCACCAGTCAGCCAGATTTCGTGGCCGTTTCCTTCATTTACGATGCGGCTATTCAGACACCCTAAGACTGCAACACCACTTGCAATCCACCAGACCAAGCCTGTGATGTTATGGGACGACCCGTAGCTATACACGATTCCCGCTATGGATGAAGTCGCTGACCTCATCAAACCAGACAACAAGAATGCGCTGCTATGGGTTCGTGCTAAAGCAGACGGATGCGGCGAAGACCTGACCAAAGGATGTAAGCCAATGTGAGCATTCACAACAAGAATGGTATCAAAAGCAGCTTACAAATTGGTCAGAACAAGTTGCGCTGGTACGACAAATGTGGACGTCCCCACCATCATGATTTGAACCAGGATGATGAGGAACCAAACGACGAACCCAGTTTTACCAGCTGGTGGTGGTGTAGTCGAGGGCATAGCTGCGATGTAAGGCACGATGAAGTAGAGTAGCGGCATCCCAAGCATGAACTTGCGCCACATCTTCAAAGTGCCGAGACGACGGCTGATGCGGGGATAGATGAAAAGCTGCGTGGGTAATCCCATCATTCCGACGATGAAGAGAGACCACATAATTTGGTCTGGCTTCATCCCGGCTCCGCCAGAAAAGAAGAAAGGGAGCTTGAGTTTGCCTTCTTTGTCAACCGGGTCGCTGAGGAAACTCGTCCACAGAGTGTTGTAAGTCGTGATGTGATACTCCTGGATGGCGTATGAAACAAGCGTGAGACACATGTTTTTAGTGAACATGCGTCTAGTTGGTAAGATCATGGGAGTTGTCTTGACTGCCTTCATTGGTGATCTTTGCTCTTCGGAATCCCTTTCAGATGGGTCAGAGTATTCCGTGATCATATGTGACATCTCTTCGTCAGTGGCATCCTCATGGCCTGCTCTGGTTGCTGTCGAGATCTTGGTTCCAAACAAAAGGTATCGAACTCTTCGGGTGAAGGCGACGCCAGGATCGTATCTATCTTTCAGGGGCTCTAGAGTCTGTAGAAACGGAAGCTGTAAGCCTGATTCAACAATTACGAGTGGAAAGCAACGAGCTCACTTCTTCTAGGAAAAGCAAGACCGCGAAGAAGGCCAACAGCATGATAGATCCGCTGAGGATAGCTGGTGGTGCATACGGCCACGCTTTCAGAAATGCATTATTCCCAAACTTATCCGGGTATTTCCCCGCTAGGTCAGCCAACTGCCCGGCCATGAGGGGACTAGCCATGGCAGCAACGTTGAAAGAGATCGGAAGCAATAAGAAAGCATGAGGCTGAAATCTTCCCGGATTATTAGCTATTGCTAGCGAATTCTAATCAACCTGAGCAATGACTGACCGTTTCTCCACGACAACCTCGGAGACCATCGTCCTCACTGTCGCCACATTTCCGTTGACTAGACCTTCGAGGATCCGCAACGCCAGTGCCTGCTTGAAATCTGTGATGAATCCAAAAGCAACACATCCAATAACTACATTTAAGGACTTGAACGTTAGCGGCCGAACGCCGTCTCTCATCTTACATCCAGTGCATGTGATGGCGGGACTCACATGATCCAGCTATTCCCCCCATTAGAACAAGCTTTCTACCGCCTCTGGGAGAATCGGCCAGTTTCCCCAAGAACATTGACGAAAAGCATTGCGATAGCATAAAACTTGTTTGTAAGTAAGCGACTTGTCGGACGATCGCTCCCGAGTCTAGGGTCGCATCTAAAGACTGCAATTGATAAAACAAATATGTCTAAGACGCCTTGTCAGCGACCCCCACATCTGCACATCGTCGTGGTGGAAAGAGTCTACTCACGAGCAGTGAGATGCTCACTACCGGCTCGGCAAACCGTAGGAAACATAAAATGGCGAGCTGGTCCTTTCGCGGCAGGGACCGCCAAGTCACTTCGTCTTTCTTGGCTTCCATATCAATTGAATTCTTGATAATAGTCAAATATCTCAAGCAAAGCTTCGGTAAACGTTTTGGTCGTCTCTTCCAGGTCAAACTTGCCGTAGACAAGCCAGAGATCTCAATGCCTTGCGTTCTTCGCTTTGCTCACCTTGATTGAGCTCAACCACTGGCGGGACATCTCCCAACACATCAGTTGCATCCGGTTGCATCCCAATTAGGAAAATCAGAGCTCCGAGTTGAACACGAGGGCGGCGGGGTAGCTCCGTGCAAGCTTCGGTCCGCAGTGGAGACGGACAGATTGAAACAGTGCTACTAAACCTTCACGCAGGCCACCTCGGTCCGCTACTTAGCTCTAATCGACAGGACAAGAGGTGTCTGTTGTGGTGGCTGCGGGTTTCGATCGATAGGCCGCCCTAGGATAGTTGAGCGAGGTAAACCTCACTGCTTCAGTTGGGTTGCAATTCAGTCGCACATGGAATCTGTTTGATCTGCATTCAACTCTAGTCAATAGGGATGGGCAAGAACGTGACTTTTGCGAGCAATATGAGGAAAGCGGCCAAGTACGACGTCCTTGAAGGGGGCGAAAATCTGGACGATGATGAGTTGGAAAGCCTCGGGGGCATGGACCTAGATCACAGTGGCCCATGCGGTAACTCCCCGACCTTCCCAGACGAGTGGAATCGTGATCGTGTCTTATGGGATCAGCGTCTCCGCAAGATTCGACGAGTAGCCTGGGCCGAGGGTATTCTGCTAATTATTCTTCTCGGATACATCGTTTTGCTCAATATTGGTACCGCCTGGCCTCGAGAAGAAGCCACCCCGTTGGGAGTTGACCCCAGTGGTTTTGTCCCGCCAGGTGAGCCAAACCCTTTCTTGACGCCAGAATGCGGCCCTAACTGGAGGCACAGAAATCGGACAGCCTGTCAAGTGGGCTAAGTACGATGATGAGAGCGATCCGCACTATTTCAAGCCCGACGTTTTCGAGAGCCTCGAAAATGTGCAAGCTGCTGCGAGGGATTTCAAGATGCTGCACAACGGTTCGTTGACACTACGATACTTTACTTAATGGGTTCCAGTCCAACTGATTCGTTGCACAGCATCAAACGTGAGAATCAACGGAAAATACAGCACGTACATGGATTTCGATAACAAGCAGCAACCGCTCCCTGCGTATGTCACCCGCAAGGGTTCAGAGCTCTACAGCATACGTGCTTTTCACCAGATGCACTGCATTGTAAGTATATAGAACTGCAGAAGTGTTGAAAGAGTTGAACTTCTGACACGAGACCAGTCAATCATTTTTGAGGATATCGGCTACAGGGTCAATAACAAAACGTCAAAGTGGGAAACGGGCCATGTCATCCACTGTTTGAACACGGTGAGGTCAGCGATAACATGCCTAGCGGACGCGACGCCAATTTCTTACGTTCATGGTATGGGTGTTGGCCACACTACAGACGATCAGCAGAGTCATTGCAGGGACTTCTTTGCGCTGAGGGAGTGGGCCCACGACCCTGCACGGGCAGTGAAATGGGTCAATATTGCACCAGAGGATGAGAAGGATAAGTATGAGGAGATTGTAGACTAGAGTCACAGTATATAATTTAAAACCAGCTGGGTGGGTGATGGATGAAGATCCCAGTAGCTTTTGAGAGATGTGCTGAACCATTCTTGAGGTTGGAGTTCACAGTAAGAACGGCGAGCCTTCACAACATAAGATGGCAGCAAATATCGATTCAGCGAGCCGTTGCGCCACTACAGTAAGAACAGGCACACCACGTGTAGAGTGCTTAACACCAATCCAGAACTCCCTCATCCCATCAACCAAGGTTCATGTCTAAACTCTTCCGAATGTGAGCGGTGATAGTATCGATCTTTCTCGTCGGGTAAGTAGATGTTTTTGCACGGTAGCCTCGCTTCAGTGACCACTTACATGTTCTGAATCAAAGACGCTATAATGATTACCTGTCGTCTCAATAACCTGCTCCACAAACCCTTCCAGCATATCCTCCCAACCAAGTTGAGGTAGAAACCGAGTTCTATCAAGAGGACACTTCTCAGCCGGGTCCGCCATAGGCACCAAGTCTTTGGCTCGGATTAGCACCGCATGTGGCGGAGTCGGGTCGACATCTCGGGAGCGGGCTGTACCAAGAACACCGGTCCTCGGCAACGCCCACGACGGAGGGTCCCACTGGTCAGAGAGACAAGTCGCTCGCATGAGAGCAGTCATAAGCTTGTCGCGGGTTTCTTGGTTGATACCAGGAAGAGCTGGGGCGTGATGCAACTTTGCCGGCTCCTTTTGAGCTTCAGGTCGAGGACAGCGAGGGTAGACTGAGTCTATGAGGATGATTCGCGATACGCGCAAGCCACGGCCTGACATCGCTAGCATATGGGCGATTTGCACTGCTAGAACGCCCCCGAATGACCATCCTATATTCTGGTCAGCGCCCGAAGCGATTGGTTTAGGGCTTAGTGCTACATACCACCGAGGACGATTTCTCCTCTCAGCATGACTCTTTTGATGAGGCGGATGTATGCTTCAGCTATTTCCTTGACGCTCTGCCATCCGCCAATACCGTCCGCATCGAACTTGGGGTCCCATATCCCATAGACCTTGCGTCCTAGAGTTCCAACCTTGAAGTAGCTGGTGAGAAGCCCACTGGCATCGTGAATTAAGAATACCGGTGGCGACTCATTCCGAGATCTTGGGATGTCTTGGATCAACACCGGGTTGGCGGCGGGCATTGTGGCAAAAGTGGTGTACTAATGATGGGCAGGTGGGCGATTTGAGAATCGATGATGTTGCTACGCCAGTTCGAGGGGATATTCACAGAATTGAAAGTAATAATCTCTCCAAAGAAGACTGTAGCCTTCAGACCAAGTGTTTGCTCCCCATGAATCGACAGCCAGGCTGGTGTGTTGGCCCACTCTCCCTGCGGTCCGAAATATGGCTTCAACCTTATCCGCAGTTGTATCCGAGCTTCTTCAATGCTTCAATGTTCCAGCTAAGGTTACCCACCACATCCATGCCAAAGAACCATCTTGACTTATCAACAGTGCTGTTCACAGGTACTGGGGCCTCGATATTCAGTATCATCCAGCGATCGCTGCTCGACAACGCACATTCAACCAACTCGTCTCTCGATATGGAGAAACGGGCCTTCCTCCCGCCACAACCGCAGAGCGAGGGTTCAAGCTCAGAACGAACCAGCTTCCACGATGAAACCGATTCAGTGGATTATAGCGCTGCTGTCCCGCAGAAACGAAAAGCACGGCGCAGCGGTATGTGGGCAATAGCCGGAAAACTCGCCTTCATACCCCTAGCAGTTGGGATATTTTACCTGGGGCGAATAAGTCACGACATGACTCCCGCGCGACCAGCAGAGCCTGTTTCGCTAGGCAAATGCTCCCCGGACTGGAAAGAGTCCAAAGCCCGAGGCTGTGTCTACGATTTCATGCTCTCCACATGGATGCATCCTAAGTGCTTCAATGAAGAGATGCACGAGAAATACTTGGGTTATATGAAATGGAGGAACACGACGTATTGGTACGAACGAGAACGTATCAACGAGGTTCCATTTGATGTGGCTGCCAGTGGTGAGCACGGCGAAATTTTTACAGACGGCACCATCCATCACATGCATTGCAGCTATGTCTGGGATAGGATAACGTATGCGTCGCATTTCAAGCCTCGGGTTCTGGACTCTCTTTGCCGAGACCCGAAGCATGTTGAGCACTGCATCTTGTACAACGGAATCCCGCAGTCGTGGGAAATCGACTTGCCAAACATCACTAGGGTATACAATGAACCTCACGAGGTGGACTGCTTGGTCGGTTAGGTTTTGAGAGGTGTGGAAAGAGCAGGGCCTGGTCGGAGGCTGTGATGCGTCGTTTGATTTATACAGCGCATACAAGGGGCTTTTACCTCACTCAGATAGCCCAGTATCTACAACAGCATTGAAGTTGAGCGGATGCAAATGTCACGTTAAATCAGGACACCTAAGGTACTTGAGCTAAGGCGATTGAGAAGACGTGGAAAGGAGCGTTTAGACATTGACATTTGACGCTAAAAGGAAGTCTTCCAAAGTGATGCGATCCATTCTAGCTACTTCCATATCTAAAGTTGGTACTCTGTCACGGTTCTCCTTCAAATGGTATGAATACCGCTATCCTTCCCATGCACTCTCGCCGTTGCCCGCCATATCTCAGTGTGGTCTCTGCTGAATCTGGTGCACTAACTCAAGGCCTCAGTTCGTATATATGTGCCCCAGCTCATGCCAGACCGACCTTCTCCAACTCAGAAAGTTCTGGGAAAGGAAGAATCTCAGTGTTGTTGTCGTAGCCCGCCCCCTCAGGCGCGATGTTCTTATAGCGAATTCCCCTCACCGGATCGTTCGCCCACTTACGCAGCGCTGACCAGTCCCTGCACATGAATTGCTGGTCATCCGTTACATGCCCGACGGCAAAGCCATTCACGTAGGTCATCGGCGTCGCATCGGCTAGACACATGATGGCTTCGCGGATCGCATTGAGACAGTGGGCTATATGCTTAGGAGCCCACTGTGACGACACGTTGTTTGCCCTATGTCCATACTCCTCTGCAATTGAGATCTACCACAACGTTAGAAAGGTTGAGGCTCACAAGTAATGCCGAAACTCACGAGACAATGCATCTGGTGGAAGGACCGGATGATGTACGTTTGTCGATATGATACTGTAGAATAATAGGCTGGCAGCTTCGCCACAGTGCCATCCGGCTTCTTCCAATCCGCAAAGTTCCCGTTCACGAGGACATTTGAGGCTGACAACGTATTAGCAGTGTGCTTCAGATTGCAGAGAAGATAGACGCATGGACTTACAATTGTGAAGGCTCTTCAGTCTTTTCGCCATCATTTTAGTCTTATTTAAATCATAGAAAGTGTCCTCCTCGATATAATATGGCGACGTGCTGTCGAATAGTGTCCACCTCGGGGGCTCACCGATCCCTAGAGCCCCTTTGTAAGCTACCTAAGCTATTCCAGCGCGACTTGACGACAAAGTACTAAGGGAAGAGACAACTCACCAGGAGGCACGAATCCATTCGGGTCGCTACCTATGTGTCCCTTTCCACAATTGAGTGACGCTTTGTCATATGAAACTCGATCTACCACCGCAAAGATGGTCACAAGAAGGAGCGCTACAATGGTAATCAGTAGACTTGCGCGCAGACACCAGACGTTGCTCTTCAGCGCCGCCAGTTCACTGCGTAGCTTTTCTTCCATGCCTTCTTGCTGGTCGTCGTCATCAGACTGGCTTGTGCGTACAGCGTTGTATTTTGGCGTAGCCTGCCAGAAGACCGATCTCAGCTTCTCCATGGCTCCCAGTTCATCTGGGTATGCTACAAGACCATGTCAACAATCGATTATCACTCTACGGGCATGGAATTTACGAACACCTCTCTATGATGGCCGGGGTGACTGGTGACTTCACTTGATACTGAAAGAGCGTGAAGTTTAGCTAGTCGGATGATCCATGTGCAAAACTGTCATGCTACAGCAAGTCAACTGAAATTTCGGTTGGGTATGATGGTAAGAAGGCTTGCCCGCAGCGATCGTACCCGCTAGTCGGATCCGGTCCGAATTACAACATGGCGCTTCTTGCGGTCCGAACCTCTATCCAGGGGCTTGGAGGGGTTCGCCAGGGCAGTAGCCATGTGGAAATCCCGCTCACACTACGAGTCGGTCTCTTTCCATTTTCCCACTCGAAGTAGATCACGCTAAGGGTAAGAGTGAGCTTTCGTCACAGGAATAGAGAAGCTGAACCTGAAGCTGAAGGTTCGCCAAAAGAAGGAAAGCCAAGGTGTCTGTCTGGTACTTTACCTATTCCATTGAACTACCGATCATCACACTCACAATCACTGCCACAGGAAGCTGTTTTCCAAGTCAAGCATTAGCAATGTCAAAGCCCGAGCCCATAGCCATTTGCGGCATTGGTCTGCGGTTACCTGGCGGCATCAACACCCCAACTTCACTGTACAATTTCCTCATCAACCGCAAAGATGCGCGCTCCAAACCAGATCGTCCGCGATACCACTCGCAAGACCACCACTTCACAGCGAGCGGCAAATCAGGACCTTTACCGACAGAGGAAGGATACTGGCTCTCACACGACGATGTATTCAAATTCGACCCGTCAATGTTTTCTATGAACCCCAAGGAGTTGCTGAAACTAGACCCTCAGCAGCGGCTGCTTCTGCAAGTCGTCTGGGAGGCGCTGGAGAGTGCTGCAGAAACAGATTGGCAAGGGCAGAGGATTGGGTGTTACGTGGGCAGTTTTGGAGATGACTGGCGAGAAATGCACGCCATTGATGCTCAAGACGATGGCATGTATCGCTTGACAGGATACATGGATTTTGTGCAGGCAAATCGCATTTCTCATGCATTCGATCTTAGAGGCCCAAGGTGATTCTCTGCTTGTGTCAATTTGAACATTTCCGCGTGAACTGATCATTTTTATCAACAGCATGACCGTCCGCACAGCATGCTCAGCTGCCGGTCTAGCAGTCCACCTAGCCTGCCAGGCAATACGTGCCGGCGAATGCGACTCCGCGATCGTTGCCGGGGCGAATTTGATACTCTCGCCAGGCTTCACCAAGCTCATGGCCGAGCAGAGCGTACTTTCGCCCGATGCTTCGTGCATGACGTTCGACGCCAGTGCGAATGGCTATGCCCGTGCAGAAGCCATTAATTGCCTCTACATTAAAAAGCTCGACTGCGCGATCCGCGACGGGAATCCGATTCGTGCTATTATTAGAGGGTCAGCAACGAACTCTGACGGGAGGACCCTTGGCTTGACAACACCCAGTGCACAGGCACAGCAGCAATTAATTCGTGATGCATATCGACACGCCGGTATACCAGAAAATCAGATGTGGCAGACTGCCATGGTCGAATGCCACGGCACCGGCACGGCTGTGGGCGATACCATTGAGGCGTGCACCGTTGGCGCCCTATTCGGAGACAAGGGGATGCTTATTGGATCAGTGTGTGCTAAGGCTTCCTTTCACGAATAGCTGTTGACATTCCCTTAGATCAAGCCCAACCTAGGTCATTCAGAAGCAGCTTCGGCAATTTCCAGCATAATTAAGGCAGTCGTGTCTTTGGAAACGAGAACAATCATGCCCAACATCAAATTCGATACTCCTAGTGTCAGCAGTAAGTTCGTTGGGTTCCTCTATGGCAGTGGCGGGGGACTAATCAGTACCAATAGTTCCCTTCACATCAACAGGCTTAAAGGTGCCAACAGAACCACAGCCCTGGCCTGAGGAAAGGGCAGAAAGAATAGGTGTCAATAGCTTTGGAATCGGCGGCACCAATGTCCATGTATGTCACTTCATCAATAGTCTTCGGGCTCGAAAGCTAATATGACCAGATAATCTTAGAATCTGCTGCAACAGTAGGAAGTTCGGCAACGGTTCGAAGCCATGGCAATGTCGAGACGCCACCTCCTTCACCACCTCTGAGGAGAGAGCCAGCGACTCTGCTACTATTCTCCGCGGGGCACGAGGAGTCACTCAAGAGGACCGCACATAACTACCAGGAGTTCCTCCAAGCCAGGCCTGCAAAGTTGGAAGATCTTTCATACACGTTGATGCATCGTCGCTCTCACCTATCGCATCGCACTTTTGCGGTCGTCACCGATGACTGCGACCAATTGGCTTTCACCCTTCCCCCCGTGCCTAGTTTCCGATCAGGCTCACAAATTGAGGGGATTGCTTTCATTTTCACCGGCCAAGGCGCTCAATGGGCGCGGATGGGATCGCATCTGATGAAAAGTAGTAGAGACTTCCTGCAGGATATCAGGGAAATGGACGCGGTCTTGAAGAGTCTTCCGCAAGAGCACCGTCCAAGTTGGGATATCAGAAGTCAGTGCATCCCTTCCACAAAAATCACCAATGAGGAAGACTAATCAACGGTGACATGTACCAGATGAGCTCATGAAATCGGATTCTACCTCCCGCCTCGGGGAAGCGGAATTCGCCCAGCCCATTTGCACTGCAATCCAGATTGCCCTGACCAGGCACCTTGCTAGATATGGAATCGCCCCCAAGGCTGTCGTTGGCCATTCCAGCGGTGAAATTGCAGCTGCGTGCGCGGCCGGTGTCCTCACCCTGAAGGAAGCGATTATTGTCGCCTACTACCGAGGGTTCATGGTCAAGGAATCCAAAGTTCAAGGTTCTATGGCTGCCATTGGACTTGGAAGAGAGCAAGTCACGTCATTCTTGACGACTCGAGTCGTCATCGCTTGTGAGAACAGCAAGTCTAGTGTGACTTTGTCCGGGGATACGGACGCCCTTGAGGCAGTTTGTAGTGCAATCAGGTCTGCTCGACCAGAGGTTCTAGTTCGTTTGCTAAAGGTTGACAAGGCATACCATTCTCGTAAGTCCAAACAGAGAGCCTGTCTCTTGAGTCTTTACTAACTACCTCTTCTTCTAGATCACATGCGTGCAGTTGGCATCGAGTATCAATCTCTTCTCAAGACATACTTGAGGCCCAAATCGCCAAAAGTCCCTTTCTACTCCAGCGTCTCATCCCAAACACTCGAACGAGCCTCCGACTTTGGCGCCGAGTATTGGCAGCGAAACTTGGAATCACCAGTTCTCTTCCGACAGGCTGTGGTACGACTTCTCCAAACTTCGTCAACCACATTACATCTAGAAGTCGGCCCACACTCAGCGCTGGCCGGTCCCTTAAAGCAGATTTACACGGAGATGGCCATCACTCCGTCTTACTTAGCCGTGCAAAAACGAGGCTCGAATAGCGCAGCAGCCTTCCTTGCTACCATCGGCGAGATGCACTGCCGAGGCGTCCCCGTCAAATTTCCCATACCTGATGGGGCGCGACCGTTGACAGACCTGCCACCGTACCCGTGGCATTTGAGCAAGACCTTCTGGCCGGACTCACGGGTTACCCAGTCCTGGCAGTATCCCGAACACTCGCCACACGAGCTGCTCGGATCACGCTCTTTAGATAGTACAAGTACAGCCCCGAGTTGGAGATGTCTTCTGTCACTGGACAATGTTCCTTGGATTGCGGACCATTGCGTCGGCTCGGATGTTGTGTTCCCAGCTGCCGGGTACATCGTGATGGCTGGTGAGGTCGTCCGGCAGCTTTCTGGGCAGGCGCCCTACACCATTCGTGACTTACGAATCGCCAATGCTCTTGTTCTTCCTCGGGGGAACAAGATCGAGCTTTTCACTTCTGTGAGAAAAGAAGAGCTCACCCGTGAGGAGACTTCGGAGTGGTGGGAGCTCACTATCCAAAGTCGTACTCCAGCCGGCACATGGACAACGCACTGCAGATGTCGTGTCAGAGATGGTCGCGTCTCTAAGGAACCGGGTTTCCCCGGACTTGATCCAAAGTCTTTCCTCCGTTCTGTTGAGCCTGCACAATGGTACAAAGCCATGTCACGGGTGGGATACAGATATGGCCCAAAATTCCGAGGCATGAGGAAGGTTCGCACCAGCGTCAAGTCGCCAGCTGTATCGGTCGAAGTTTCTGATGAACGAGAAACGCCAGAGCATCAGTACGGCTATGTCTTACACCCAGTCACGATTGATCTGATGCTTCAGTCCCTCATCGTCGCGAACCACTCCGGGGAACCTCGCTTCCTTCAAAGGCTGTATCTGCCGACTCATATTGATGAGCTATTCGTCAGCTCGGAGGCCTCAAAGATGGGTCTTCTGCTCCAGAGTGTCAAGCCTGGTAGTGGAGGAGACTATCAGGGGGATTGCTCTGGCACATTGCGCGATAGTCCCGGAGATGAACCAGTCGTCTTCATGAAAGGTCTCCGACTCTCTCCGATTGACCTGGACCATGCTACTGCAGGTACCACTGATAGTTCAAAGGTTGCAGTCATGTCTTGGGAACAAGATATTAGCCTGGCGCATGCCACTGACTTAGTGTCAGCGGCATCCGACTCCTCATTCCCAGAGACACATCAGCTACTCGAAGAGTTTTTTGTACTTTGCGGCGCAATGGCACTCAAGGAGGTAGACGAAGCAGACATACCGATCACCGAGGCCCAAACACATTTGGCAAAGCACTACAGCTGGCTCCGATTCCAGATCACTAAATGTGACCCACAGCTGCTTCAAAAAGAAGCTATAGAGATTCGTGCGAAGATCGAAGACATCACCTCGAAGCTTGAGAAGACAACTGCATCTGCTGTGGGCGTTCTTATCAAACGTTGCTATACACATGCCCAAGCACTCTTTGACGGCACAGGTAGCCCGCTCGAGGTTTTCCTGAAAGACAACGCCCTCCACGAACTCTATGACTGGATGAACACCTTCTTTACCTACAAGCCTCTGTTACAACTTTTGTCTCACAAACGAGGTCGCCATCTCAAAATTCTCGAGATTGGCGCCGGAACTGGGGGGTTGACTTCCCGCATTCTCAAAGATTTGGCGGACTGCTTCAAAGATGGCAAAGTCCTCGGTACCTATGTCTTCACTGATGTCTCTGCTGGGTTCTTCCCGACAGCGAAGGAGCGTTTCCATGACGTTAGTGCCGGGTTCCTGGACTATCGCGTCTTGGATATCAGTCGCGATCCAGCTGATCAGGGGTTCAGCGGTGAAGAGTACGACCTCATCGTTGCAAGCAATGTGCTCCATGCTACTCCGAAGCTGAACGAGACCTTGCAGCATGTCAGGTCATTGTTGAAGCCTGACGGAAGACTCTTGATGCATGAGCTGTGCTGCAACACAAAATGGATTAATTTCATCATGGGTTACCTTTCGGGATGGTGGCTCGGCGACTCTGACAACCGCCCAGTGGAGCCTTACATTTCTCCAGAGCAGTGGGAGGAGCGTCTATTTCAAGCTGGCTTCTCATCTGCGGAGGTTGTCTACGATGCCGGGCCGCAATACAAGCTTAACGCCACGATCATTGCTCGTCCTGCTGCGCCGAGCCAAGGCATCAGTCTCACTTCACAGCAAATAACCTTGCTGTGCGAAGAGCAGTCACACCCAGTGGTAACTGAAATTGAACAAACCTTGCGGCGTCTAGGTCACTCTATCACCATTTCAAATCCTGAATATGACGGCTCACCTGCCGGCAGCATCGTGGTATCCGTTATTGATCTGTGCCGCGGCGACGGCTATTTCCACGATATGACGAAAGTCAAGCTAGATAACCTCAAGAGCCTACTGAAGACTCTTCGAGACACCAACTCGAGCCTACTCTGGCTTTCACGACCCTGCCAGCTCGGGTCGGTCGATCCGACCTTCGCTCCAGTGCTCGGCATCGCGAGAACAGCAAGAGTTGAGGTTGGAGTACATTTTGCCACTATGGAGCTTGACAGCATTACTGCAGATTCTCTAAAGGCTGTCTCCCAGGTCGCAAGCCGACTTTGCTCCCAACACGCGGCCTTGGTTTCGAATATGGGTGAAGATATGGAGTTCTCCTACTCTACGGGTCGCATCCTGATTCCGCGATGCAAGTGGGCTCCAATCTCTCGCGCTCTTGCGTCCCAAACTTCAATCTCTTCAACAAAGATGCTGCAGGTCTCGAGGCCTGGGGCCCTACAGACTCTGAAATGGGGTTCTCGTCAATTGCCCGACGATATACCGCCCGACCACGTCAAGGTTGATGTCCACGCAGCAGGTCTCAACTTCAAAGACGTCGTCACTGCAATGGGCCTGATCAAGCCTTCGGCTCCAAGAGGACTCGGATGTGAAGCCAGCGGTATCGTGACGGCCATAGGAGGTTCTGTGACGAACGCTCGGGTTGGTGACCGCGTCATGGTCTTCGCGCCCGAGGCGGCCTGCTTCTCTACGGAGATACTGGTCCCAGCACAGCTTTGCATCCGCATTCCCGATACACTTGCCTTTGCTGACGCGGCTGGAATGCCCTGCATTTTCACCACGGTCCTTCGAGCCCTGGTAGATAAAGCCGGCCTTAGGGCTGGTCAAACTGTGCTCATCCACAGCGCCGCTGGTGGTGTTGGCATTGCGGCCGTGCAAGTAGCTCGATGGATTGGGGCCAGAGTTTACGTAACTGTGGGCAGCGACGAGAAGTCAGATTTCCTTGCCAGAGAGTGGGGTGTTCCTCCAGAACAGATCTTCTCATCTCGAGACGTCAGTTTTGTGGAGGGTGTGAAAGCAGCGACAGGTGGTCTCGGTGTTGACGTCGTGTTGAACTCTCTGTCTGGAGAGCTTTTACATGCATCATGGGATTGTGTCGCCCCTCATGGCACCTTCATCGAGCTAGGGAAGAAAGATACCTTAGCGGGCGGTAAACTTGCTATGGCAGCTTTCGATGGGAATCGGTCCTTCATTGGCGTCGAGATGGCGAATCTGGCTGCTGAGAACCCTGCCATCATCTCCCGCTTGCTCCAGAAATGTGTGGACTTGTATCAGCAAGGTTACATCCATCCCGTGAAGCCTGCAAAGGTATTCCCGTGCAGTAAGACTGAAGATGCCTTCCGATACTTGTATCAGGGTACCCACATTGGAAAGGTGGCCGTCGACATGACCGAGAAAGATGACGCGGCATTGAAGGTATCTCAAGTGCCTTTGCCTCCCAGCTTCCGTGAGCAAGCTACCTATGTACTTGCCGGCGGCATGGGTGGTCTGGGAGCAACGATAGCGCGATGGATGGCCTCCCACGGTGCCAAAAGTCTGCTTTTCATCTCGAGGTCCGCCGGACGCAGTAATGACGATCAAGCTCTGCTTTCAGAACTTCGTTATGCAGGTTGCGAGGTCAATGCCATACCATGCGATATAGCAGACGAGACGTCCATGCAAGCGGTCATTTCGAGACATGCGTCATCCAAACGGATCGCGGGCGTACTAAATCTAGCAATGGTGCTTGCCGACGGTGCACTTTCGGACCTTACACTGTCACAGTGGCAAACGGCGACATCGCCCAAGATACGCGGGACATGGAACCTTCACCGCACGCTGCCTCGTGACATTGACTTCTTCGTGCTCTTTGGTAGCACGTCTGGTGTGCATGGGTATCCAGGCCAAGCAAACTACGCGGCTGCCAACACCTTCCTCGATGCGTTTTCCCAGTATCGCCGGGGTCTAGGTCTACCTTGTTCAGTGATTCACCTAGGAGGCGTGGAGGATGTGGGCTATGTCAGTCGTACACGAGACGTTGAAGACGCCATGACGAGATCTGGATCCAAACTTGTTTCCGAAGCCGACATGCTACGAGGTCTTCAGCTCGCCATCGCTGAAAGTCGACCAGTGGCCACGAGCGCAAACACTGGAGCACACTGGTCAGCCTCCAATGGGCAACTGGTACTTGGTCTTGACTGCAGCACGTCTATCAACGATCCTAGTAATCGAGTTGCGTGGAAGCACGATCCTCGCATGAACCTTTACCCAGATATTGCGGAGAATGAGGTGGCCTCTCCGAAAGAGGCTGGGTCATCAGGCTTAGCCGAATTTCTATCAAGTCTGCAGTCGCGACCGGAAGAGTTTGAAACGCCCGCGTCAACAACATATCTCGCGCAAGAAATCGCCCGCCGGATATTTGGGTTTCTCATGCGGGAGGTGGATGAAGGCGGGGTTGACATTACTCTGTCACCTTCAGGGCTTGGAGTCGACTCTCTCATGACCATTGAGATTCGTAATTGGTGGAAACACACTCTTGGTGTAGAAATAAGTGTGTTGCAGCTGACAAGCGCGCAGAGCTTCGATCAGCTCGGGCAACTTGCGGGAAGGCAGCTGAAAGACAGGATGACGGCGCTCTCAAAGAAATAGGAATAAACGTAAACGCGAAGGGTGGGTGGTGTGAGACAGATGCGCGGAAAAAAATCATAATGTCACTAAAACATACCGCGGCTACGTTCTTGTGCAATCATTCTCCCAGACTGCCATAATCTTCTCTCCATCTTGAACTGCAGTTGACGGTGCGGTGCCGGCCCGGAAGCGGAGTATGGGGCCGATATGATCGGAGCCATGTTCCGAGGTGGGGTCTTCACCGAGTCAGTATATTCGGTCAGGTCCATGCGGAGGGATGACTCAGCTCGGTGAAGCATGGAAGAAAAGCTCGAGTGGGGCTCTCCAATGGAATTGTCGTCATTGGCAATTCATCGAGGCGCGACTATTTCCACCACCACATCTCGCGCTCAGTCAACTGATTACCAGCGGCCTAGAGCACGCCGCTCGGCCATGAGCGACGCCCTCTTTTTCTTGCCTTACTCTATCTGAATCCAGTTTCGCGACAATGTCTAGGTCAGGAGCCTTCCGCCTGTGCGCCAGGCCGCGGGTTGCGGCGCAGATTCGAGCTTTCCGACCGTTGAACTTTTCGACGACCGCGTCTGTTCGAGCTGCCGAGATTCGCGATGTCTCCTCTCTCCCGCCTAGAGTTATTCCGAAATACCGCGACCCTCCGAACTCGACCTCTGGCTTGCTATCTCTACACTGGCCGACGCCTCCGAGGAATATCCTCTTGATGCCGAAGCTGCGATCCCCTCAAGTCCTACGAGCGACCATCGACTTTGCGAAGCACCTACAAAGTACATATTCTGGTCTGAACCTAATATTTGAGCCGAGAGTCGCTCAGATGGTGCACGAGTCCTTCAACTTCCCCATCTACACATGCGACCCATCTGCATTCCCGGACAGAATCGACATGATCACGACGCTTGGAGGCGACGGAACCATTTTGCGCGCCGCAAGCCATTTCAGCATGTACCAAGCCGTGCCCCCCATTCTCGCATTCAACTTTGGTACAATAGGGTTCCTGGCAGAGTGGAAGTTTGAGGAATATAAAAGGGCCTGGAGAGAGGCTTACATGAGTGGGAGTGGCGTCGCCGTGGATGATCTATTGACGCCACACACGAGAGTCGCAAGCGGAGAGAAGGAACACGACGTCAAGGATGGGGCTCAGTCTGGATGGCATGCGTCTCCTGGCAAGAGCATGGGACAGAGTCGGGCAGCCAAAATCTTGCTGAGACACCGACTACGCGTCGGCGTATACGACAACAACGGCCAGAACATCAGCAGCCAATTACTCCCAACGACGAAGTCACAAGCACACCTACCAGCCGAACACCCCGAGGACACAATACTTTCGAAACGTGACATTCCTCAACCGATCCATGCTCTTAACGAACTCCTCATTCACCGCGGGCCAAAGCCTCACCTTGCCCATATTGACATTTACCTTAACAACCGATTCCTGACGGAAGCTGTCGCAGATGGCATACTACTGAGCACCCCTACGGGCTCTACTGCTTATAGCCTGAGCGCCGGCGGTTCCATCATACACCCCCTCGTGAAATCGCTCCTCATTACACCAATCTGCCCACGAAGTTTAAGCTTCCGACCCTTGGTCCTCCCCCTTAATACCAAGGTCACACTCAAAGTCAGCAGCAAGAACCGCGATGGCGAGCTCGAGGTCAGTATCGACGGCAAGCGAAGTGCCGGCGCAGGTATCGGCACTGAAATCCGCGTCGAAGGAGAGATGGTCGGCGAGTCCAGCAACGGTGACTGGAAAGGAGGTGTGCCGTGTGTCATCTGCGGACCAGGCAAGGGCGACGCGTCGGACTATGACGACGATGGCTGGGTTGGGGGTCTGAATGGCCTCCTCATGTTCAACTACCCCATCGGGAGGTGAAATTGAAACTTATCATGATACCCGAATGTAAACTACAAAAGTCTTTCTACGGAGTTGGTGGTACTGGGGGGCACTTTGGTCTGGCCTTTTCTCATCTTTGAATAGTTCTGTTACTCCTCAAGGGGTTGAGATTTCAGAATAGCACATCGATCATCATCATCGGCTACAATTTTGATTGCTCTGAGTAGCGGTCCATAAAACATCGGCGGATTGAGTAATACCTCTAGTCCTGGTGTATGCCCCTTGACTAAGTGTTCGAGAAGGCCGGAACGGTATCTTGAGGCTGCGCAAGATGCTACGACCAATAACCCTGGGAGAGCCACAGCCTCCATTTTGTGCATTGTGACTCTAGGCTCCGGTCAAGGTAGGTACATGTGTTTGTGTTCAAGGCGCAGCTAAAGGTCGTAAAATAGCAGCCTAAAACGATCATCGTGAACATGGCAGTTCCAGCCTGGACTAAAGCTGTTGATAATGACCAAAAGATTGGAAAGCCAGGAGATTTGTTCAATGATCACGATGTCGCTATTTGCTAATTAGTCGGGCTATAACATACAACCTGGTCTATGCTCTTTGCCCTGATGTACCCTCCATGTCAATAGAGTCGATACATTTGATCAGCCCCCCGATGGTCGATCCCTCGCCGGCCAAAAGGCTAGCTGACACTTGTCACCGTCGTGTGACTATCAGAAATACATGCGAAATCCCTGATTCATCTCATGTATTAGCCCCTTGAGCATCCTCACGTATAGCCTCAGCCGATTTAGTTGAATGTTTTCGATGTGACCTCCTTGCATTACCTTAAGTCGGCCAAGAAATTGGCCAGGCTTGTGAGTGACCAGGTCGGCCACCGAGGTCGCCCAGCGGTGGCAACTCATGGCAGCTATGCGTTGAAGCTAGGTATCACATTGCCATCAATTATCACATCCAGGGTCTCGGGAGTATGTGGTGGTCAACGCGTGTGCACTCTACGGGATTCCCTTTCCATCGAGATCTCTCCCTTCACACGCTCAAACAGGCTATCAGCGCGAATACCATGGGGCGATCTGTCACGAGAACTCCAAGACAAGGCTATGGCTACAGAGCCAAGACTCAAAGTTCCGACCAGAATATAGGCCTAGATGCAGGGCAAAAGTGGCGCTGTGCTATCCTAAGATTTGGGCGTCCATGTAAAAGTTGCCTATTTTGCAAGTCAATTGAGAGGCCTAGGATGGATTGGCTCGCCACCATAGTGAAGACCTGGCCGGGATATTGTTCGGAGGACGATTTGGTTACCTTCGTCAAGTCGAATTAGGACTTAGGACTTAGATTATAGGACTTTGATCTTAAGCACAAGACAGCCTAAGGACCGGCAAGGTGATATCTTTTAAGACCTACGTTCTGGATGAAATGTCCCATATCTTGATGCAAATCCCAGTATTACCTCAAGATCTTATGGCAAAGTTTGCTGAATTTGCAACTGTTGGGTTCAACAGCACTTGGTCATGGGTAGTCATAAGCCGGCTACCGTGATGTTGAAACGCTGCCTAAACTCTCACCTAACGTACCCATGCGATCATGATCTAGGCCGTCGGCATGATGAGTTCGGCATCCTCGAAGACAACCGGCGCTCCTTTGCCCAATACTTGAACTGTGTCGGCCTTGGTGCCGCCCCGTAGCGGTTCTTATGGCTACTGTAGGCAGATGTCTACTTGCGCCGAAGCCTAGAGGGCAAGACAGCTTGGGACTCCCCGAACGTGGGTCGCAAGTCTAATCCACCTCAACCTCGCATCTCAGCTCCAGATGCTGGCGGGGAAAGGTCTGACATGCAAGAACCTCGTCGGAAGGTCCCTAGTTCCCTCCGCCAGCAAGGGACGGGTATCCGGACCGTGACTTTATTCGTCCACATACGACTTCCGGATGTAAAGGTCGCTGTGCCCGCCGACTCTACCCCACGCTTTCCAGCAGGCATCCACAACATAGCTCGCCTGACCCCGCCGCCGACGACGATGTGGTGTCAGCGGCAGCGGCGTCGAGCGGAGCAGCGGAGCTATGAACTTCCTGATGACTATATCGAGGTCTACGGATAGTCTAGTATACGGACGTAAGATTCGGATCTTCCCTTCGTCAGCCACAGCCTTTTCTAGGGCGCCTGGTCCCATATTGGCCCCAACCTCTCATTTGCCTCATGTTAGCCTAGCTGTCTATTCGGAACCCCGAGTCAGGATTATGACCCGAACCCGAATACTCTTGGCGAAGTTTATTCGAGCTTGATTCTGAACTGTACCGGCCGAAGGCTTGCTTGACTTCAGCCTTCGGCGTCACTTGCTTCGGTCTCTCCGCTGAGTCCTCTTCGGCCGTTAAACTAACGCACCATGCGAACATGAGGCCGTACGGCAAGCCTTCAGGGTCGCCAGAGCCAGCTAAACTATTTAGTTTGTTATCCCGACTGAGACTACGGACCCTCGAGAAGCGCGTGCCCGCTGTAAGCCATCCCGCAATTCTTTGTTCCGTTCCTTATCCTTTGTCCGTCAGCCGTTGGACTCGTCGCACTTGCGCCAGGTGGAATGAAATGACTCGGCCCGCTCCAACGCTCTAACTAACAAAGGCCGTCCAGCACTCTATTGACGCCCGTAATGTCGATCCTCGACGCGCAAAACATGGAATTTCGAAATTGGGCAGATAACAACAATATCGTATTCTTCTGTCTTCGCGAGTTGCTGTTTGGAATTGAGTGTAACGATCAAGCTTCTCGACTCGAGAGCTTCTCGAAGCATGCTGCAATGCTGCGCTGTCAAGGGTCTGCCGACTTCCTGGTCCCTCCGACTCGGCATTGTGCCGTGCGCTGGTTGGCGCCGCTAATATGGAAAAGGTTGTGCCGAGCGGCTCGGCATACTGTACCAGGACATGGGGACCTGTGCCATCCAGTTATCGACCCAAATTTGGGAGTGGACTTCGGATGATGCGACCCCCAGCTTCCGCGCAACTTACATACACTAGATTAAGAAAATTGCCTGCCGGAAGTCCCACTGAACGGATACAGACTTGAAGCTTCTCTAAGCATCGCTAAAGCCGTGGTGACGTTTGTGGAATTCGGGATTTGCCCGTGTCTTACCCCCACAACTTTCGCAACTGACTGAAGTTTGATTGAGTCCAGCTCGACCCCTGCGTTCACGATCCGCGCTTCTCTCCCTCGTCGTATACCCCTTGTCTAAGCAATATTTTAGTGAAAACATATCTGGAGAGTTTGGCTCTGACGCCTGCCTGGAGAGACGAGAAGCTCGCATTCTACGGATTAATGTCCATTGGCAGACTTGCAGGTATCCGTCATAGAACGCTAATTCTTACCCCAGCGTCTCTCGGCAGGTTGCCACAGCCACTGGCGTTGCTCCAAGTCATGGAACTGGACCCCGACTAATCGCATGATCTTAACTCGCACCACGCCGTCGATGCTACTATACGTGCTAGCTATCCACACTCAGTTATCGCTTCGATTCACTTGTCGCGACGCTTTTCTTCCTCCTTTGAGTCTCCCGTGCCGCCGATGTGGCTGACACAGCAATCAGATGGCGGCTAATACCAAGACCCCCCTTCCCCTGCTGACACCTTACCCTTCCCCACCACCCGTTTGACTGCTCGGCTACTGAGAACTTGAGAACTTGAGGTTCGGGGATGGGCCTTCTTTACTCTGTCTTTCACTCGGAGAAACAACTTAGATCTCACTACCGATCCTCCCTCCCACGAGACTAACAACTAGCTTCGCTGCAGTACAACGCAGGCCATGCAGCTAGGTGATATTCGCCTCTCACACAGCGAGGGAGAGAGCTTCGCGCCGGTGTCTTGCGTCTCGGCGACCACACCGAGTAAATTAGTGTCAAGCTCGAATCCGAATACAAAATGTCCAAGAGGAGCACGACCTTGGAGCAGCTTGCTTTCGAAGCAGGCCAGCGACCATTAGTCGACAGCAGCAACAGCAACGACGACTACGATCGGACGGAACCGCAGAAGTCTTCCAGCAAGATGACCCGGACTTCGATGGCCAACGTTTTGCTTCTGGCGTGCCTTTCTTGGGTTGTCAGTGCGATTTCAACGCCCAAGCTCGTCGCGTACGAAGAGAATGGGAAAAAGTACGAGTGCAAATGTTCTCCTGCCGACATTTGCTGGCCCAAGGCCGATGCTTGGAGTAAACTGAACAAGACCGTGGGAGGAGCTCTCCTTCAGCATATCCCGCCTGCTGCAGTCTGCTACAACACGTATCGTGGCATCGCGACTTACGATGCTGCCAAGTGCGCCGAGGCCACTGCAAAGTGGACGGACGAGAGATGGCAGTGAGTCTCATCTATGACGCAGAGCTGTCGAGAGTCAAGCCCAGAACTAATGGCGAACTATCAGAATCTCTCAACCTGCATCGCAGCTGTGGACGTGGGGAAGCAACAACACTTGCGAACTGACCACAGATCCCACAAAGACTTGCGCTCTCGGCAACTACCCTGAGTTCGTCATCATCGCCAAGACGAAAGCTCAGGTCAAGGCTGGCGTGGACTTTGCGAAGTCGAACAACTTGCGCCTCGTCATCCGCAACACGGGCCACGATTTTGAGGGAAGAAGTGCTGGTGCTGGATCCTTGGCTATCAACACTCACAACTTTAAGGACATCTCCTTCGTTGATTCATACAAAGGCCCCGGAGATTACAAGGGGCCTGCCATGACTATCGGTGCCGGAGTTCAAGGCTACGAGATCTCGAACGCAGCTCATGCTAGAAACCCACCCCAGAATGTAGTTACCGGCGAATGCGAGGTAAGCCTGGAACAACCCATCTTCCTTTATTTGACTAACGATTCTCAAGACTGTAGGAGTTGCGGGTGGTTTCATGGGAGGTGGTGGTCACGGTCCCTTGAGCGGCAACTATGGCTTCGGCGCGGACCAGGCGCTCTCCTTTGAAGTCCTCACCGCAGCCGGAGACTTTGTCACAGCCAACGCCAAGTTGAACTCTGATCTATACTATGCTCTCAGGGGAGGCGGCCCGGGAAACTACGCGGTTGTCTTATCCGTCACTGTCAAGACATACCCCGACACCATTCCCGGAGCAGCGCTCTTCTTGAACGTCAACGCTACTACTGGCGCCAACTTCGACCAAGTCACCAAGGCTGTCAACAAGCTCAACGCGCTCGGAAACCAAATGGTTGACAACGGACTCTACGGCATCTATGAGCTATACCCGCCAGCGATCGGACCAGCACTGCACGTGCAGCCAATCATGGGAATGAACAAGACTGCCAAGCAGCTCACAGCTGTCGTTCAGCCGCTTCTCACGTACCTCGATACCGAAAAGATCCCGTACGACTTTGGAGTCAAAGAGTATCCCAACTACTACACTCTCTTCCACGACATCTTCGAACCCGAGCGCGCGGCCCAGAACGGTCTGACGGGTGGCTGGGTCTTTACCCACGACGACATGGCGAGCAACCAGCCAGCCATCGCTGAGGCCATTCAACTTGCGCTGGCACCGGCCCCGAACCAGTTCGGCATCGTTATTAGCCACTTTTTCGATCCGGGAAGTAACGAGAAGAAGTCCGAAAGCGCAACACACCCTAAGTGGAGAGGCGCGACCATGCGAACCATGGCTATCCTGCCGCAGGCCCTGGATGCCACCTGGGCGACGAAGCTGGCTCTCAATGATCTGATGGTCAACACCATTACCGAAAAGTTCAAGCAGGCTGGTCCTAACGGCCTTGCATACGTGAATGAGGTAAGCTAGTCATCCCCCTGTACTACATAATACAATAAGTACTGATGTGCGTGGACAGAACTATGCCTTCATGAAGAACTGGCAAGACGCCTTTTGGGGCCCGATCTACCCTAAGCTGGCGTCAATCAAGAAGAAGTGGGACCCCAACGGCGTGTTCTTCTCTTGGTCTACACCGGGCAGTGAAGATTGGAGTGTTGTTGACTACGCGAACCGACTTTGTAAAGCGAAATGATTGAAGCGTTTTTGAAGAAGCGACTTGAACTTGGAGATACCACTTATGATGATATTGGATGAGGATACTAGATTCTTAGATCTCATGATAATACATGTAATGAACGGAATGATATCGTTGTGTCCGTCGATCTCTCTCTTTATGACGCGAGGCTCACTCGTTCCAGATGACAGCGCTGAGCCCATCCTCTTGATTCACAGTCCCTGGATTGCCGACCTTGAGAGTTGCAAGAAGCTTCCCCAGTCTACCCGAAGTGGCGTTTCTTTCCACAACCGCAACGTTGGCACTTGTCTGTCCACCGATAGCCACCATAGTTCCGGCATTGTTGATTGCGAAGGTTCGAGGAAAGAATGAATAAGCACTTGTTGTCTCAAGATATGTGATCAGGCCTGTCGAAGGGTCGATTGCGTAGGCCGTGATGGAATCTTGTTGTGTTCCGAAAGATTGATCATTCCTGTTCGAGGTGTACACAAAGTTATCTCTGATGTGAACTTCGGCTGCCTTCGAACCAACTGGCGCAGCCTTTCCGGGAGGAAATGTCGACAGGGTCTGCTTCTTCGCAAGAACAAGGCAACCGGTTGCCGGGTAAGTAACCGACCAAGACGTCACAGAGTTGGATAACTCATTGACGGTGAACAGGAATGTCATATTGCCTTGTGTTCTAAACGCTCCATGGCGAGGTCCGTCTCCGGGTCCAGTCGAGAAAGAGGGACATTGAGTCAGAATGCATGACGATCCGATGCTGAAGACACGGATAAAATCGGCTCCCAAGTCCGCAGAAAGAAGATATTTTTCGCTGGGATCTGTGAAGACAGAGTGAGGGTGAGGTCTATCCTGTCGAGATGGCACTGGCCCTGGTTGAGACATGTTGAATGTCAGTTTCTGTAGGGGTTGACCTGTACCGCCCAACGGGAGTCCATAGGTAGATATTGTCGATGCATCGCTACAACATAGTTAGTCTAGGGTATGTCTCATGAGAAATGATCTAGTAATCATACTACTGTGCTGTTGCGATGTAGCCATTGCCAGATCCATAGAGCGTACTATGAAGCTCGCCTCCGGCTGTCTGAACTTGCGCCTTCGATATTAAACTTCCATCGCCTGCGACAGAGAAGCTTTTCAGAAGTGGCTGGCCCCATTGTACTTCATCCGGGATATAGACAATGTTCGACGCGGAGTCAAAGTCAAGCCATGCTGGCATGCGGTTCCCAGAGCTGACTGTACTCGCAATAGTGAGTTGGTTTGTTGACGATAAGTTCAGTGTGTAGAGTTGCCCGCTATAGTGCGAGGCAATCAGGGTCGCCCCAAGAGCTCCTCGGAGAATTGTGAGACAGACGAGGAGACCCGATGTGTTTCCCATTGTGCTAAGTTTCAAGTTTTGGTTGGGAGAACTCGGTCCTTGGCGTTCACATTGTGGTGGGCTTCGGCTCTTGACTGTTTTAAGTCTCCTGACCATCGACGAGCGCCACTGCCGGCCCAGTTCCGAAGGTCTTGCAAACTCGCGATTGCAAATTTACCCGACACAAGCAGCCGCGACAATGCAACAGTGTGAAGCCCAAAAGCGTTGGTACTTGTTCCATCCAGAGACAAACCCGACTACCGCATCCTCCGAGATGCCTAATAAGGTAATGTCACGGAGCCCAGTACCGGGGTGCCAGGACAACGAGGTGAGGTGAATTGATCATAGCCAAAAAGCGGCTAATTGCAGATCACAGTTCTTTTTCACTATGTTCAAAACAGAATAGCATAACGGCGCAAAGGCTTACAAGGCATTATGATGCCAACCTTCATTGCGTCCGAGCCGCAGACATCGCTTGACTTCTGTAAACATGAAGCGAGGCTTTGCCAATGAAACTTCAGGTGACTAGATTCACCTGGGCCATCTATTATTCCAAGCCGAATCAACCTCATTTACCAAGCAGCCTACCTGAACAGTGTGAGTCACTAAAACACATCAAACTTTCAAAGTTCCGGGAGCCGCACTTTCTCCGTATCAAGGTGCTTCATAAGCTGATATGTCGCAGACACCGGAGTAATGTTTTTTCAGACGTCTATGTCGGCTGGTGTTGTTTGTAAATCGCGAGAACAGAAAGTCGCCTCCTTCAATTTCATTCCGCTTCTGAACGGCCTTACCATTTGAGCCTGACACTAGGTACCCATCAAGATCGCATTAGAAACCACCCCCTTCCCAGATGGGATCACCAAAATGCTTATCCTGACCACAGGCTGTCACTTCTAAACCTGGCGAATAGCATTCATTTACCTGGATGAAGCATTACGGGATAGCAGAGGCGTGTTCGATGTTGTAGAGCAACTTCACATCCGAGGTTGGCCATTTGGCCACGGAGACTTGAGCTTCAACCAGTAAGGTCATTAACTACGAGAAAGTATGTGGTTGAGAAGATGAGCTAAGAATGAAAAGAACCCTAGACATATATTATCTCGCTCCGCTAGCAGCCGCCATGTACCGCTCCTGAGACAAGGGCGAGGGCGAGTTCACGACGGCAGATGACTTTGACGGATTCTATGCAGAGCACCACGGGCTGCTCGACGGGAATGTCTGGCGAAAGCACTGCACACTTGCTCTCCTCGCGCAGCTAATATCAGCTCGCTTCTACCGGCTTCCCGACTTGCAGGATCTACCAGATTCAAGTGACCCTCTTGCGCAGCCACGGCACAAGGGAAATGGCCACCTGACCAAGCTTCCGCGGTGGGCACATAACTTTGTGCGCACCCATCGACGTCAGCCATCCCTTCCCGTCGAGACCATCACTCAGATAGCCCTAGCTACTCTCGAGCAGACCATCGCACGCTTGCGAGAGGACTATGTAAGCGTCCAGCCGTACTCGGATACTCAAGCTCGCTTCTGGCTCAACTACATGAACAGAGGGTGCCCCGGAAAGCAGTTGAAGGAGACATGGAACCACAACGAATTCGGTATCTCCGTCACGCAGGGACGTTTTGACATGTAGGCTTGGGAAAGACACTACTCGCGTAAGCGATGGGAAACTGTCCACATGCCGTATCTTGAGCAAGACTTAAACGACGCGTGAGAGCAAGATCAGCTGGTGTGTGTGGCCGGGCGGCGGGGTGGGTGAACAGGGGCGCAGCAGAGGGTGGGAGCCGGAGGTAGGGAGCGAAGAGGAGGTTGCGTTTCTGGCGGCTGTTATGATGAAGAAGACAGAAGGAATCGACATGAAAGACTTGGATTTTGGAGTGCGATCGCACATTCTCCTTGAAGTGATGTGCTCTGCTTTTGATGTCGACAAGGGACAGCAGGTGGAAGAAATTGAGCGTTGGCTTGGTTGCTGCGGGCAGGATTGATGAGAGCAGGGCCGATATCAAGAGGAGCGTCATGATGCGAGAGTACACATGATGGCACATACGACAACAAACTCGGCAGTGTATTCGAGAATTGCTGATGGTCATGAAGCCATACTTGTGTATGAAAGATGGACAGTCTGACTTTGAAGAGAATAAGGGTGAGTTGCTGCGTCAGATTCTGGTAGAGAATGGACAGATACTAGCAAAATGGAAGCTTTCGGACTCTTCCAAAGAATATAGTTTCGATCTTCAACCAAGGAAGTAGAGCTAAGGCGCTATCTCCAAGTCATGATTCAAGTCTTGTAGCCCTAAAGCAAGCGACTACCTGACTGCACACGGGATGTACAGAAGTCTGTGGTAAGCTGCGAGCAGCTCCGGGGATGGGTGGAATACAAGATGTCTACTTAGGATCTGGACATGCCATAATCCATCACACCGCGCTTCGAAAGCGTGAAAGGAGGGTTTGACGGAGAAGGTTCAGGTTTACAAGCGACCCTTCACCAACTGCTGTAGATATTGGAGGGCCGTCTGACAATCTCGCACACCACCGAGTAGCTCGAGAACACACAGGAACGTGAGAACATTCAGGCTCTCAATGAGATAGAAACCCACACAAAGGTCAGTCGTAGGGCTAGCAATGCTGAGAATAACAGCTTGCGCGCACTACAGGAGACTGTCAAGTAGCAATTGGCAAACGAACAGATGAAGTCATGTATGAACTCCCGGTACCTAGTTGACAAGCCCCTGGAGACAGGCTGGTATCTTCAAGTTGAAATCCATCAGTTCACTTGTCATTGAGGCTTCCGCCGGCTCTTCGTCGTACGCATACCGTAGGAAGAAGTCCACAGGATGTATTGGGGGCAAGAATTTCGGGAGGCTGCAAATACATCAAGCCCGCGGTTTATTCAGATGAGATTTTCCGTCATTCACTTTCCTCGGAGCATGAGGCCGGCCTGATACTTTGAGTTTTGTTGAATTGTGGTTCATTCAGGAGAACAATACCTTGCATATACGGTACGGGCGGTAATACCGAGTGAACAGATGAGAGGAAGGCCACCACTGTAGGCAAAACCGGCCACGGAGTACAACTAGGGAATGTTCTACTTAGTCGAGGTTCATGTAATGAGTCCTGTATTGCTAGCGCAGTAGTTCGTCCGGTCTTTTCTTGCAGGCGTCTATTTCTACTTTCGGCGCTCTTTAAAAAGAAGACTCTGAGACGGCCACCATCAATACCAGACTGGCGTGGGAGGCCGTGTGGCTTGGCTCTTAATAGGCTTGCCATTAAGGTTACTTGCGACCCCTCTCTTTGCAAGGGAGGGGCATGTATCTGGCAGATCCCGCCCAATATGACATCGCGCCTCTGGGCAAGCAGCGGCTATTGATCCTTATTCGCATAATTATCCGCGTCTCAAGATCAAATTCAGCGTGGATGCTACCCACGTGTTGATTTGGCGTTCGCGAGGGGCACTGCACCCCGCGGGACGTTAACGTCGTGGAGGGGACCCCTGTCAATCCTGTATTCAACTGCCTTATTGGGCTGTGCTTCGTAGCTTCGGTCGTCTTTCTCGCGATGGACAGGGAAACATTATTGAAGTATATAAGAGGCAGTGGTAGGTGTTGTGGTTCGAGATTTGTGATCAGCACTGAGTCTTGTTGCCTTTACCCCAGTCATTCGTTTCTCGCTTCAAGATGCAGATCAAGACCATTCTCGCACCCATTTTCCTGGCGAGGTTAGCTCTGGCTCAGGGTCTCCCCATTCGCGTTGCCTCTTTCAACATTCGATACGACGCCGGTTCACGCGAATCCGGCGAAAAGCCGTGGTGGGATCTCCTCTGCGGAATCTCCAAGGACCGCTGCCGCCAGCCCCATGTCATCGACGCAATCAAGAGCATAGGCACCAATGCACCCACAGGCGCCGTCACCGTCATCGGCCTGCAAGAGGTACTCGATAACCAGCTCAACGACATCCAGGACGGACTCGGCTCCGGCTGGGCACATGTCGGCGTCGCCCGCGACGACGGCAAGAAGAGCGGCGAGTACAACCCCATCTTCTACCGCACCGACGCGCTCAAGCTGCTCCACGAAGAGACAAAGTGGCTCTCACCGACACCCGATACTGTCTCGTCTGGCTGGGGAGCCGGCAGTAAGCGCATCGTCACCATTGCTGTCTTCGAGCATACTGCTAGCGGAAAGAAGTTCATCCACGCCAACACGCACTTGGATAATGTCAGCTCCCAGGCTCGAAGCGAGGGAATCAAGGTCGCTGTGTCCAAGATTCAAGCTGTGCAGACAACATACGGTCCCTTGGGTGTTTCGCTTACCGG